GTACGAAACGTCCCTCGTTTCCCGTGTTTGGGCTAACCCTACTCCAAACATAATGCAACAAGATAGCATACACAATGCGACTAACATGCAACCCTAAATGCAATGCAACCTAATCATGCTGGCATGCGAGGGATGATATGCAAGCATGCAACTAGCATACACAATGCTATGAACTAAAGATGGCATACTCAATGCATACGAACCATATGGCATACACAATGCACATACGAAGACTATCATGCACAGATGAAGACTATCAATGAGATGATCAAGGCATACACAATACAATGGCCAAACATGCAACAACATGAACTAAATGGCATACACAATGCAAGATGGACTTAAACCAATGTGAGTGGACCTCAGCCACACTCAAATCAGTGGCCAAACACAATTGAAATGAGACAAGAACGCTCATGCAAACATGTCCAATGCATGGGACCGAACCTAAGGCATTGAATGCCACTCTACCAAAGCATGGCAAGGGATGACACATGGCATACAATGACACAAATTCCAGCTCTGAAATAGCATACAAGATGGTCCCGAAACATGCAAACACCTCACCCGATGCATGCTAGATGACCCGAATACCGAAACTAGTGGAATGGATTACACTATAGGTATGCAAAACAATGCTCAAATGATGAAATCAACCCCAAACAGTCCTTATGCAGACCAAAATCAGTGGCAAAATGTGTTGGGATGGTGGCTCGAAATGCATTCAAATAAAGCTCATGCAATGGCCGGTAAATGAGGCATTCAAGCATAACTCTCAAACGCATTTAAAGAGTCAAAATCATGAGAATATGGCATACATGTAAGCTCTGAAATATGATGTGCAATAGCCCCAAAACATGAAAACACCTCAGTATATGCATGTAATAGACCTCGAAACTCAAAGCTAAGCATGGATATTGTACTACAAGCATGCAAAACAAGCATCATTTGACCATGAGACCCAAAAACAGAGCTAAGGCAGTCCAAAATATGCACAAAATCAGTTTAAGGCATGGCCAAAAAGTGCTAGAATCAAGGGTCAACATAGCATGCAATGTAAACTAGTAAAGAGGATTTGCACTACAAGTATGTGAGGCAATCAAGAGGTCACCAAACCAGAAAAATTCAGAAGTATGTCATGTCAAATAATGCCCAAAAACTCATGGAAACAAGGTCAATGCATGCAAGAATGATATGTTCCTTTGAAAAGCCAAAAAGAGGGTTATTCTACACATGCAAGGTGGACACCCCACATGACAAAACCACCTCTTGAAAAAGGTTATGAAGGCCCTAAAACTCATTGAAAAGGGCCTGAAATGAGGCTAGGAAGCATGCAAGTAAAGGCTCCTTTGAAAGGCTATGAAGAGGGTTACTCTACACATGCAAGAGGGACACCTAATATGGCAAAAAAAAACATTGGACAGAGTTCATGCAGGTCCTAAAACTCATCAAAAATGGCCTGAAATATGCTCAAGAAGTATGCAAATATGGGCTCCTTTGTAAAGCCAACAATGCTAGTAAACAAAACAAGGGGTGAGAGGGTCACCCCTCTCTGATTTTAGGGCTCAAAACAGCACACTATCCACTGCAAATTCACTGGATTTCAGTGGCTAAGAGGTCAAACAAAGGCCGATGCAAAGGCCTAGATGCATGGCTCAAAACAAAGTCAAAACAAGCATGCAAGGGGGGAGATGACCCCCAACAGAAAAATAACCTTAAACAAACTTTAAGAGGAGCTCAAAATAAGACTTTTTTTAGTTCATGACAAAGCCCAAATATGCTTGTAAACTAGGCTAAGAGATAGAACAAAACAATGCCAAAAAGAGGAAAATAGAGTGTTACCCTTGTAGCCAAAGGGACCAGCAGCTTCTAGACCAAAACAGCAAGCCTTCAACCTCTGAAAACCATCTCCAAGGTGCTTAGAGTGATGGTGGAGGTGTTAGGATAGGAGGTGGTGTGTAATGGCCAAGAACAATGGAGCTTTGGAGTTTGAAATAGAGAGATATAGGGAGAGGTGTATGTATGTCTTAGCCAAAAAATCTGAACCTTTACTAATGAGGGAGAGAGCTTCTCTTATAGGAGAACAAAGGTCCAAGCTTCTCTTGGAAGCTTGGAGCAAAGGACCAAGCTTCTTAAGGAAGCTAAAGCAAAAAGGGTCAAGCTTCTTGAGGAAGCTAGAGCAAAGGGGTCAAGCTTCCTCAAGAAGCTAAGAAATGATCAACCTTCTCTTAGAAGCTTGGAGCAAAGGGTCAAGCTTCTTTAAGAAGCCAAAACAAGAGGGTCAATCCTCCATACGTATATGGAGGATGGGGCAAATGCCTCCCAGCTGGCACAGTTTGAAGCAACTCAGTGAGACAAAGCTGCAGAGAGCTGGCCGACCAGTTCAGGTGGTCGGCCGACCACTTAACCTGGTCGTCCGACCAGGTCAAAAGGTCCAAGGTGGTCGGCCATCCCCTATGATGAAGCCCCAGAAGTTAGCTTTCCAATGGCACCAGCCTTGCATTAAAATTCCAACTGTGCAAAAAGTTATGCTTGTTTCGGTGAAGCCACGCAGATTCGGTCCAACCGGATTGATGCCCTACTTCAACTAACTATATCTCCCCTGTCCGGACTTGGCTTTAGGAGATTCTTGAACGTAAAATGAAGCCCTGGAAGTCTTCTTTCCATCGGTGGTGGCCTCATAGCTTAGATCCAAATGTATAGACAGATAAGCGTGATTTAGCGAGGACCGCTCGACTTTCTCTCTTAACGGTTCATGCCCATTTTCTTCCCCAACTGGGTTTCTTCCTTCTTTTCTTCTTTTCCTCAACTCCAAACCCCTAACAAGGTGTTTTGAAAGATTTTTCAAAGATTTCAACTCTCTTTCATTCATTTCAACTCTGCCCTTGCTCGGTTTATCAAAAAGCGCAACATTTAACAAAACGCGAGCCTTAGAGCATCGTTGAAGCTTTATTTCAAAAAAAAATTGAAAGAGAGGGTTTTAAGGTATAAAAACCATTCAAAATAGCTTTGGTCCAAAATGGGGTGTAAGGTTGGGATTTGACTCTCCTCTTGCCGAAGAAATTGAACATTTGCCTTGCACACCTTTCTCCACCATGTAAACCAACAGTCGCGTCCAAGTCTTAAGGGCGGTCAAAAATGAGGTGTCTACAACTATCTTAAAGACAAGTTGTTGGTGCTTCCCTGCCCTATCAACTTGAGGGGGACTAATAAGCATACTACTTCTACAGTTACAACTACTCCTATAGTTACAAATACATCTCCAGTTGTTCCAATTAGTTAGCTGCAGTTACATAGTTAGTTAGTTTGTTAGATTAGTTAGTTAGTTTGTTTGTTATATCTGTTGTAACTCTTAGTGTATAAATATTTGTAATACTTGATTGAATGAAATAAGAAAGATGAGTTCACATTCTTGTTAATAAACATTTACAAAGCCAACAACTTTTTATTAAAACTCAAATGCAATTAAGAAGTTCAACAATTGGTAATTTACAAATATTTTTATATAATCTTATACGTGTACAAAATTATGTAGTTAATTATGTTATTAAAAAAGAATAATTTTTTATTATTAGTAAATGTCCTGACTTTTTAGAAACGATTCACGGAGATTTTGCACCTCAATATAAAGGTTTTTCAAGAAATATTACTAGAAATAAGACTTTAAAGAAATTTGAGAACATTAAAAATAAATTATTTAACATTTTTAAAGGTTTGAATGGAAAATTTCGTTTAACATCCGATCTGTGGTCAAATTGTAGTTTATATTATCAATGAATCCTTACATATTATATTGATAATGATTGAAAATTAAATAAAATAATAATTTCATTTAGATTAGTAAAATTGATGAGAATAATTGCATCACTACATATTGATATTGACAATGTCACTCTTTTATATATCCGTCATTAGTAAAATTGATTGAAATTAATAATGAAATGACCAAAGTAAGATTATAATAAAAAGTATAAGGACTAATGTCATGTTTTAATAAAACCGTAGCAGCTAATGAAGTGAGACATATATCATGTATTATTCACATAATAAGTTTCGTTAGTTTTATTAACGTCAAATAAATAGAAGATTGAGTAATATTATTGTAATTTAACTTAAAGCGTAAGGAGTTGACTGTTACAATTAAAAATAAAATAACCAAATAAAATTTTAATAAAATATAGGGAAATTCTAACATAACCTTTAAAAAGGATGCATATGGTGCACTCCTAGTTATGTCATTTCCTTTTTGAGTTATGACATTATTTTAATTATAACTAATAAATTCTTTAGTTATGCCTTATGTTGTTTTTGGTTATGATATATTTTTTTTAGTTATAATTCAAAAAGTATAAAATTATGTCATTTTCTTTTTTAATTATAAAATATATATGATACACACTCTTTGAATAGTGTGTGCCAGAGTATTTCCCAAGCGTATAAAAATGTTAAGTATAATTTATCCCATTTATCATATAAATTTAGATAAATTACACTTTATAAGTTTTTTCTCAACTTATCGTCTCTAATGTTTCTAAATTTTTCCAATTTGTTCCAATAAGCCCACATTCATCCAAAATTGTACAATGGACAGCTACATTGTCCCCAATTTAAAACCCACACTCCACGTTCCCCTCCTTCCTCTGCTATAATTGTCAAATTAATATAATTAATCTAATTTTAAAAGGTGTGACTAAAGAAGATGTGCATCAAACATTTACTCATGCACAGTGATTGAGTTTTAGTGGTGTAACTCAAAATAAATGTACGTTCATGGAAATGCAAATGATAAATGTACATTCATGAAGATGCAAATGAATGCAAGCAAAAGTTGCAGAATAATATTAAAGACACTAAAAATTCTACCAAAAGTTTTACCAAACACAATATGAGGCACATATAAGTCCCACACATATGTTAGACATTTGGTAGAATTATTCATAAAATTTTTGGGATCTTAGCATTTTTGAAAGTTGTATCCCATGCCTAAGCTTCACTTTCACTTGCATCAAACAAAGATACACTTGTGCTTCCATGAAAATTACAAATTACAATTATTTCGAGTTTTTCCCACCAAAAGCCAATTTCCCCAACAACTCTTCAGACAAAATACAGTGTAAAGCTCCAAGAAGAAAATGAATCACACTACAAAGCATTTCATTGCTTTAATAGCCTATTTGACAACACGAGGCAAGACGCCACAAAAATAAAATAAAAATTATCTAAGCAAAATTAAGAAGTCATAAAAGTTTATCTAGGTTTGAACTTCAATGAAAAACAAAAACAAATGAGAGCATATCGAGCTCTCACTTGAGAAAAGTACATCCAAGAAACAAAAAAACATATGCCACCAGTGATGTTAGAAGCTCAAGTGTCCAGGTTGGATGTATGACAACTGATGGGATCATGGGAACCAAGAAAGAACCACATACCCAGCCAACCACAAGAGATCCAAATCTGCAATGAAGTAGACAAACCATTTAAACAAAAGCAAGAGGGGAATGGTAACATGCACGGAGATGTTGAACACAGAAAAAACGATCAATCTCTTCTTATAGAAACTTACCCGATAATGGAAGCTCTAGCTAAGCTCTTTGTCTTGTCATTAAGAAAGTATATGCAAGCTGCCAAAGAAATGGCCACCTGCATAATGGAAATAAATATTATTTTGAAAGAAAGTAAATATTATTTACAAATATTCTTCATGTATCTACAGAGATCAATTAGACTGAAAAATTAATTACAAGTGCATATGATATGTGTGCTCATTGCCAGTGTACAAAGAATAGCTTAATGATAGTTTCAGCATTGGTTATCCCATCCAACAGAGAGGTGGAGACTTAAAATGTAAAAAAAGGTCAATTTCATGCTACAGTAGACTATTTTTTGCCGAGAAAATATCATTTTGCCTCCCAAACTATGATTAAAAAATGAAAAATGGTTGAGAGCACTAAAAGTGGTGCTCTAATAGCACCACTAATGATGTGGCAGTGGGCTATGCCTACTGTGGCGGCCTTAGACTTCGCAAGCCAACCGTGCGGCCTTAGATGCTTTTCAACCCACCTGGTTGCACCTAAGTCAGCCTTCCCCACTCGACCACACTAACACACACAAAGTTTAGGTGGAAGAATGTCTTCACTATGCAAGTTCTCTTTACAAGTATAGTCGTGTACAAAGCTTTACAAGGCTCTCACACTCACACTCACACTCACAAGTGCTTCACTCTTAGAGCTCTCTTGGATCTCCAGGTCTCTTGGTGCCTAGCAAATGAGACTCCTCACCCTTACATAGCCATCCTCCTCCTCAATGGACGACTAGGATCATTTTGATCCAAGGGCTACAAACTCTCATCTAGAACACTCCATAGAACTATCTAGGACAACTACCCCTCCTACTACATTCTAGAACTCTCCACACTAGTGTAGTACACGGTAGACTTTTCCAGGATATGCTAAGATGTTCCAGACCATCCAGACTCTACTGGACTCTCCAAGGTTCTTCCACATTCCGGAATCTTCTAGGCCACTCCGGACCCTTCCACCACGTTCTAGAGTCTTCCAGCATACTCTAGCCCGTTCTCGCGCCTTCCGGAACCTTCTAGCGCATTTGGCACACCTCAAATGTTGTTCCTCATGTCACAGAAATTCTCGGGGCGTGACACCATGCCTATGCCTTGTTTTTTTTTTTTTTTTGGCATTCCCAATGCATTAGTGCTATTAGTGGTCTTTTTTTTAGTGGGTATGAATCATTGTTGTTGAAAAATCAATTCAACCCATGTTCTTTCAATAATATCAATTTTATACCTAAACTATTCGATTTTGCATCAATTTCACCCCCACCGTCCATTGCCGTTTATAATCAAACAGAAGTTGCTAATGTGGTGCACAAACTTCATTTGAAATTTCATTTTACTCCCAAACTATCCCCAAAATATAAATTAGACCCCTGAACAATATGAAGTTTGGGGGTCTAATTTATATTTTATAGATAGCTTGGGGGACAAAATAAAATTTCAAACAAAATTTCGGTGCCATGTCAACATCATCCATTTGATTACAAACGGCAGCTAACGATAGCAGTAAAATTGATCCAAAATCAAATAGATTAGGTGTAAAATTGATATTATTAAAAGAACAAGGGTTGAATTAATTTTTGAGTGATAGTTTAGGGGGCAAAATGATATTTGCTCTTTTTTGCCTTCTATCATTATTATTTATCAATTTACTTTTTTGATAAATAAGCAATCTTACTGAAACAGCATCAAGGAGATGCTACAAGAATACAATGAACGAACCCAAAAATAAGGCAGCTATACAGAACACATCCGGACTGGCATCTCAGTTTGCTCTTTCTAGGGTCATGAAACAAATATTAATCATTCCATTAAATTCTTAGAACCAACATGACCGTTGGTTGCTAGAATCTAATAAAAGGATTCAAGGTCATATTACAGTAAACAACTGGAATCTTCAATGCTCCATTAGCAGAATATACTCTTTTATACATTGGAGCACTCTTGACAACATGCCCAATTCATCACAAACACATTATTAGAAGCTCAGCAACCATCTCAACTTGAGCTACTTCAAGGCTTTCTAAACAATACCTAAAATTTTATAATTCTGAAGGCATATGGTTGGGTCAGTCAAAGAAGACAGCGTGTGCAATGAATAAGTCTGCCATGCATGAGATGGATCAAAATTATGAGCAAAAGCAGCACTTTCTTTTATGAATAGAACAAACAGTAAATTGAGTTACGACAGCATGGTAAGGTTCATGTGGTTTATCATCCATTATCCCCCTCTAATCCATCATCATTGAATTTTCTACGAATTTAATATTCAGAGTCAAAACAGTAAGCCCCAGATAAGCAGACTTGTCTAGCCACTCCAGACATCAATTGTTCAGAGAACCTTTAATGATTTAAAGACGCATTGGAAAGTGAAAATTAAAAACAAAAAAATTATAAGGGCAAGATTTTCTGCAGACTACGAGGGAATTAAGAAAAGAGACTTTGAGAAAAAATAAGGATGAAAACAAACCTGGAAAGCAGGCCCACTTTCAGCAGAATTCATGATACTCCAGCCACCCATGAATGCAAAGAGGAATAATCTTCTAAGGATAATTACAGTAGGAGGAACTTCCACAAAGCTGAGCAAGTTCTTGACCCAAGGTGGAGACTCTTCTACTTTCTTTTTTAACCTGCTTTTCAAGTTGATTTTTGTTTTCTTCCTATTTATGAAACTTGCCATTAGTATTTTTTCGAAAGCAGCTTCTATTGCTTCCGCACTTCTTTCATGCCGAGCATATTGATCCAAAAGAAAATTGCGGGAACCCCAAATTTCTTCTTCAGAAGCATCGGTACTTATACCGAGGCGTTTATAAGGGTCCCAAACATTAGTTCGAGGGAATTTTGGAACATTGCCTACAGATGAAGAAAATAAATATTTGACAAGAATTTTTCAATGTAATCAGCAATCATGCAAAAACATAAGGAACTGTGAGTAATGTATGTTACATATGCTGATAAGCATTAAAAACTAGGAGTGATGACTTTAAATACAAATTAATCAAATCAATCCATGCAATCCAGTTAAGAAGATCCACACTGGAACTTATATACTAGAACCATTGGACGCACACGAACTGACCAACCAAATCATTGAATTCTTTCATGCTCCTAAGAAATGAGAAGCTGAGGAAGCATAACAAACAAATGATTGATCTTCGCAATGCTTATCGCTGGACAAAGAAATCAACACAAAACATTGTTTATTATTTTTCATAATAAGAATCGCTCATACGCCTATGCTCCAAATGTGACTGAATCCTAAACCTCCGTTTTGGTTGGAAGGGGTATGGCACAGACATGTGTACCATATAAACTAATTTATTCATTTGCTGCCTGCTTACCAACGGAGGGGGTAAGTTGTTATGTGAATATAAACCTCAAGGGACGGGACGTGATTTCTAGAATGGCATGGGGTAATTCGTATTTTCACTAAGCCTCAAGGGTGGGGTTGGTAATTTGCCCTAATATTTTCCATGAAGAGTATCTTGCATAACTGCACAAGTACAACAGATGAACTTAGTGGGAAATATATATATATATACACAAAAAGCAAATGACCGTGAAGGTGGAAACTATAGATTAAGTGCTATGGGGCATTCAAGTGTAAGCAAATGTGCATTGTTTTAATTTGGGTAAATTACACTTCGCCCCCTTTATGTTTGGTCACTTTCCCACTTTGACCCTTAAAGTTTGTTTTTTCCCATTTTGGCTCTTCAGGTTTCAAGTTTTTCCCAGTTTACTCCTAAAGTTAATTTCTATTAAAAATTAGATAGAAAATCGTACATAAACAATCACCTGATATAAAAATATTTCATTATATATAGCTCACATCTCTAACATAAACTTAAACTCAATATAATAATATATTTTTTATATTATGTGACATCTATTATGGCATTTTCTGTCTAATTTTTAACAGAAGTTAGCTTTATAAGTAAATTGGGAAAAACTTGAAATATAAAAGGCCCACTTGGGAGAAAATAAACTTAAAAGGGCCAAAGTAGGAAGTGTTAAGTGTGTTTTCTCGTGTTGCACCCCTTTTGCCTGTTCTTTTTTATTTATCAAAAAAAAAGGGCCAAAGGAGGAAAGTGGTCAATCATAAAGGGGGAAAAGTGTAATTTACCCTTTTAATTTTTAAGGATTGTCACCTACCTTTCATATTAACTATACCTAGCGGGATTGGTTATTTGATATTTGTGTCTCACTAAATGAGTAATACACGGATCACATTACCCTTGCAATAGACATTCTTTACTCTCTTGCCTTTGCAATGGAGAAGTTCCATCGGAAGCTAGAGAATAAATAAATGCTATACATCTTAAGGCGAAATCACTCAAAAAATATCACTGGGAAAAAGCATGTATTTCTGACAGATTCGAACAAGAATTTACCAATGTTGGCCAGTGATTGAGATTCACAGGACAGTTATTAAGCACCAAGTGTCACAGTCAGAAACAAACTACAACAGGTTCATGTGTACTTGATTTGGTTCAGTATTTTCATTTTAAGTAAATTACACTAACTCTACAAGTTTGCCATAGTTACTTCATGCTTCCCTAACATTTAAATTTTCATAGCACTTTGCACCCCTTGTAATCAATCATATTGTCAACAATATAGATGAAAATGATGATATTATCTCTTTTACACTGAAATATATATTTTACATTTGATTATGGATGTAGCTATATACTGTCTGCATTATTACGATTGCCATCCATTAGAAGTCAAATATATCTAAGCCAAATTGGCACCTACAGGATTTTGATCATGAATAATTAGCAATCCAATAAGTTAATGCGTAAGAAAAACACCTAAAGACATTTCCAGTTCCCTTGCAGTAGTATAAGAATGGTCTTCTGCAAAGTGCCAACAAAAATACAATATACCAAGAAAGCTAATAAACAACCATGAGAAACAACATCCTAATGCCCATATATACACTAGAAAAATGCTTGGGAGCACTAATTAGTGCTCCCACTAATTAGGTGGCAGTGGGTCCTGCCATTAATGATGTGATGTTTTGGTCTTGGAGTTGTATTTTTTTATTTTTTTTTTTACTTTTTTAATGCATTAGTGCTATTAGTGGTGATATTTTTAGTGGGATGAATCATTGTTG